ACTGTATTAAAAGGCCATGGCATTAGGAAGGTTGAGAACCACTGGTCTAGGCAAACATTTTTCAGGGGATAGGAGAAAGCAAGAATGTTCAACAAATTTTGTTAAATTCTTGGCCAATAAATGAATGATGGATTCATTCACTGGCAGTATATTCGGATCCCTACACTTCTAAGGTTGACAAAAATACCTGGGACCAGTGTTGGGTCATTAGCTTCCTCCATACTAGATGGGGTTCTGTTGGTACAAGTGAGAGCAAAATTAGTAAGGAACTTTGTGGGCTCCCACACCTGGACAGGTAGTGTAGCTAATAGGAGCCCAGAAAGAGCAGCGGGGGGTGGGTGCGGGGACCTCCCATGCTGAGAAGCAGCTTGGAGAGGGTTAGCCCTCCTGAAAATCTCCATCTGCCCCCACCAAAGCTCAGCAGATAAAAAACAACTTAAGTGAAAACAGTAGGTTAGCTCCACAAATGGAACCTCAACCACCAACACGCTTCCCAACAAAAAACTCCCCACCTGATTGCTATCCCTATACCCAGTCTGTGTTGGAATAAGAGACCGGAACTGGGGCTTCCCCTCAGTCTAGCTTGGTTGGTCTAGCTGGGTCACATGCCAGCCATAGTTTTATTGAAAGTGATTTTTAAGTTCTCTGTCTTGCTTTGACTTTAAGCCCAAGGAGTATAAACTGACAGATTCAATCTGGACCTTTTGTGCACCTCCCAGGAGGGAGGAGGGCATGGGCCTGAGATTGATAGCACTTAGAAACCTACTTGTTCTGTGACACAGTAGTCACCTAGTGGAGCACCTTAACAATGCCAATGCCCAGGTTCTGCCCCCAGAGATTGAGATCCAGCTGCTTTGCGGGGGAGGGGCTAGGCATCTGTATTATTTTCAAGCCCCCCCTCCCACTGGTCTCTCAAAAGAATAGCATACACCCCACACACACCTCTCGAGGCCTTGGGTAGGGCTCCTAAGAGCTTCCCAGGCTTACTCCAGCATTTGCAGCTTCTCAGGCAAACCACACCTTGTACATGTTGTACTGGGTGTTCCTTCCACCTGGAATTCTTTCTCTGCTCCCCCCTTCCTTGACCACCATCCTCCCAGCACATAGCACACTGAGAAAACATCCCTCCCCTCCCTGTACCTCAGGCTGGGCTAGGGACCCCTGGCACCCATGTTCTCCCTTATCAGTCTGTGTTACACTTTATTGAAAGTAATTATTAAATCATCTGTCCTGCCTTGACTTTAAGCCTGGTGCAGACTTGCTCACTGTCACTGGAATGAATGACACACACAGCATGCCAAGCAGGGAGTTTGGAGTGCTCAGCTCTGCATTTATGAGCCAGTTATTGGAGGAGTATGTATGCTCACTCAGCCTCAGTTTCCTCAACTGCAAATGAGGATGATAATAGACTCTACCCTAGCCGAGAGCACATCAGAATAGTCACTATTACGAAAGACACACACACTACCTTTTCAGTAAAGACCCGTTATCACTCGTGTTTTTCTATTTTCTATTTCAGTAATTCAAAGACAGGGCCCATCTTATTTATTTCTTTATCCCCCAAGGACTAGCATGCAGTAAGTCCTAAATATATATTTATCAACTGATGACTCAGGATGTAGGTCTGGGAACATTCTGTTCATACCCAGAAGCCGTCGGAGTTAAGAGTCCTTGCCCACCACTGTCCCTGGGAGGGCTTCAGCCTTCTGCAGAACCCTTCCTTTGGGAACCCCTCTAACCACTCCCCCCAATAACTCCTAGAGTGGAGACAGAGGGAAGGGAGTGGAGATGGGGATTGGGGGCGGGGCATGGCAGGGCTGGGGAAAGGGGCCCGAGCTATGCAGAAGGTCTCTATTCCAAGGCCTAAGCTGCAAGCTACAGGTGAAATCATAAGTGTCAGATTAATCATTTGAAGTTAACTACATTCTGAGTTAAGTGAGTTTCTATGGGTAATGGAGTGCTGAGTTCTAAAACTCCACATTTTGAGAATTTCTTGCTCCTGCAGAGAGTGGGAGAGTTGTTAAAAAGTTGGCTGACGTAGGCAGATTCCTCAAGGTCAGCACAACTCCATAGTGCTCAACTTGGGGCTGGATTTCTCATGATAAGACGTCTAAACTGTATGAGGGCCAAATCCCCACTTTGAGGATATCCAAATTCAGCCTCACACATTTCTCCTCATGAGAAAAAAGAACTTTGCATCCCTTTCTCAAATTATTTGCTCATGCTGTAAGTCTTGGGTCTCCCCAAATGGCAGCCAATCTGTTAGGTAGGTAGTTAGAAATCTGGCTCTCCTAGGAAAAAAGGAAAAGGGCAGGACCCTCATCTCAGAGCCACCCATCTTAGTACTATCCCAGGTGACCTCTCACACCGGGGGGGAGGAGTGAACACCCAACCAACCCACCAATCAGAACTTAGCGTGCCAAAGGCAAAGGATGTAGAAGACTCTCTAACCTAGCAATAGGTACAATAGAGTCTTGAAAGTGACCTAGAACAACCTTAAGACTATCATGTCATAAGCTGAAATCTATATTGTGGTCCACACCCCCCAGTGGGCGGGCTCTCAGAGAGGCTCTTGGGAAGTCCACATGTGCAGTAAGACTGAGGTTCCAAGGTGCCTCTGAACCACAAGGTAGGCCTGATCCAGACAGTGTAAATCTCTCTTTGCTTACTTACAGTGACAATGGAGGTCCATTCACTGTCTGCGGCAAACATATATCTTGCTTTGTAGACCTATGTGCTGCTTTGTAAGCCTCTCTTTCTCTTCCTCAATAAACTTAGTTTCACACTTGCCTTACTTTGAAGTGTCTGGTCATTTTTTGACCAAGAGCACTGTAAGGACACAGACAACTACCTGAAACCCAGACGTGTTAGGAGACATGCAGCTGCCTTGAAACTCAGCAAGTGCCCTAGAAAGGACTCTGGAGAACTCCCATGGCCCAGTGCCTCTTCCAAATCGTATTCAGTTGCAGTCTTAGGGTGACAGTATTATCTTTACAGATGGAAGAATCTGAAATGTAGTAGTTAAAAGTCCTGCAGCCAAAGATCTACTCTTGGGCACCGGAAGGGCTATGTTCAGGCCTTCTGCAGGCTGGCTGCACCTCTCTGCTGGATCTGGAGGCCTGAAGGTGCTATAGCCATAATGGTGGTTAATTGCTGTCAGGAGAGCTCAGAATGCTAATGACCCCTTCTCTCATTAGCGGCAGAATCTAGAACTAGCTCCTGAAAGGCAGAATCTAACAAATAGTGTTAATTGGAGGCTCTCAAAGGTGAAAAGGCCACTCGGGTTCCTCTGTGCAGTCTGGCGCAGGGCCTGCTCAGTGTGCTGGGGTAGCTGCTGACATGGGCTGCTGTCCTGTGATTCTGCAGATGAAGTTGTTAGGTGGGGCAGGAGGGTTGCCCAAAGCTGAAAGGAAAAACCATTTGAGACCTGGATTTTGAGATGGTAGGTTTTCACTGTAGCATTTTGCAAACCTGTGGACCTAAAATTGAACCTCGGTCTGGGGGGACAATGATTAGACAGAGCCTGTTGATCTCAGACCTAAAATACGGTGGTATCCCAACTATGAAGAAGAATCACATCAGTGATATTTTGACCTCAGCAAACAGCTGTCTCCTGCAGCGAGCTGCACAGGAGGCTGGGGCACTGCACCCCTTTCTCATCTGCTTTGTGGAAGGCGGGTTCAGAAGACTTACTGTCTAGGTGGTGTCTTCACAGAACTTCTCTTTCTTGGAGACTTTCTCCTCACTGCACCCTCTTGGTGGGCAGAGTCCTACACCGCAGCCCTGCAGTCTGTGTGGCCTGCAGCAAGTGAGGACTTAAGACAAACATCCAAATTGGATAAAAACCCAGTATGTTCTTTTTCCCCAAAGAACCAGATGGGAGGCTTAGGAGTAAGGTGGGGACGCTGGTTTGACTAAAAACACTTGCTGTGGCCTATTTGTGTTTCATCCAAAAGATGTTTCTCAGGGGAAGTTACCAGTCCCTTAAATACCACAACAGCAGAAGAGCTGCAGGGCCTAGGGAACCTTGGGGAGGAGACTTTCTCTCCCAAAAAAATAGGCGCGTTAAGAAACGTCACCAACCCCAAGCCCTCCTAAGAGCGGCATTGCGGACCTGGCGGACAGCTCCAAACGGCTGAGACCTGGGAACCCCAGACCCCCATCGCCACATCTCTGGAGTGGCAGCTGTGCTCCTGGTGGCAGGGTCAGGCCCGCAGGCGCCCTCCTCTGGGCTCAGCCCGGGCAAGTCCTCAGGAAGCTGTGAGGTGCTTGGAAGGGATGGCAGAGACGGCCCAAGCCCCGTCGGCAGGGGTGGGCCATGGCAGGAGGCAAGGTGCGTTAGTATCTGAGACCCAGAGGGCCATACTGCCCAGACCTGAACAACTTGGAAGCAGATTTTTCAGCTTCCTGCACTGGGGACACAAATGAGTGAGACGAACCCGGGGGTATCGGTAGCGGCTTCGTGACGGCTGTGTGGTTGGAAGGGAGAGCTGGGGCTTGTCTCCAAAGTTTCTACTCGGATTGGATATTCGTGGCAGATTAAGTGGACGCGCTGCCGCCCCAGGGGTGTTGGGCCCTTTTTCCAAGGGGAGCCCCGGGCCTGGAAACCGCACGAGGGTCAGGCACTGGGGCGCGCCCTGCAATCCGGAGCCACGGTTTCCCGAGGTACTCACGGCGAGCACAGCAGCGGGGCCGTCTCAGTCCCCGCCTGGCCGCTTCCGCCAGTCCCCTCCCTCCTCGCTGGCGGAGTTGAAACCCGAGCCCGAGGGGGCGGGGCGCACGGCGGCGGGGGCGCGGGGCTGCCTAGACATTGGAGGGGACCCGAGTGATGGATGGCGAGGGAGGGGCGCGCGGAGGGCGGGCGCGGGAGGGGGAGCGCCGGGCGCCCTCGGCGGAGGTGGACCGGGCCTCCCGGCTCGCTGCTCCCGCCGGCGGAGCGAGGCTGGTTTTTCTCCGCAGCGTGATTTATTTCCTTCTTTTCTTCCAAACTCTTCTTCCAGGGAGAGGCTAGTGGTAACAGGCCGAGCTGGATGGATGGGTATGGGGAGAGGGGCAGGACGTTCAGCCCTGGGATTCTGGCCGACCCTCGCCTTCCTACTCTGCAGCTTCCCCGCAGGTAAGGCACTGCTCCCTGGGTGGGGGACAGCCGGCGGGCGACCCGGACCGGGTCCCCGGGCCTCCCCGCCACAGCGGGCCACATGTCCGCGAGGAAGTCGGGGTTCAAGCTCGCTGCCCACCCCCGAGCCCCCGCCGCCTATTACCATGGGTCTTTGTTTCTTCTTCACCTCGCTGAGGGCTCGCGGGGTGAGGATGCCCACAGGGTCTCCCCACCAGGGCTGCAATGAGACGGACCAGGGCGGAGAGGTCGCTAGAGGCCGGGGTGCCTCTTTTCCCCTCCCTTTTTCCGAGAAAGAGGTTGTTGGGGACTTGCAGCCTAGGGGCCCCGGAGGAGGGGGAGAAGGAGAGCACGCACTCGTGCTGGGGGCACTTTTTTAAGCTCCTTTTCCACCAGTTTGCAGACCTGCCAGGTGCCCAGGGGTGGAGCCAGGGGCGCCCCCTGAGGTCCCAGCCGAGTCCCCCATGGCTCCCTCCCAGGATACGTGGTCCTGCCCCCCGCGCTTGCCCACGCGGGAAAACCCACGGACCCGGCTCACAGGAGCTCGTGTTGCTGTTTGATAACATTCTGCGTCGCTCCCTGTTTGTTTTCATTGTGTCAGAAAGGGAGAGAATTTCAGAATTAAAGCTGAAAAAGCCCATCTGTTTTCAATGAATCCCCCATAGTTTTTCACAATGTTTTTGGCAGATTGCTGCTTTCAAATTCCTCCGAGCCCGGACCTCTTGTTTTTGTTGGGGGAAGGGAGACCAACTCCACAGAGAAGCATTTGTTCCTTCCCAAACGCTCCAGTTTCTTTACTTTTTTTTCCTTTCGGGGGGAGGGGGGAGGCACGAAACTTAAATCCCCGGCCTGTTTTCTTTATAATGTTGCGTAAAACTTGATTTCATTTTTGCCATATGTTGCTCACAGCCTGGAAACACCAGTTAAACCCATTATGCCCGTTTTTCTCTTGCAAACACAGATAAACACAGTGTCAAGGGCCAAATGGTCCGTGGGGTAAGGCGGGATCTCCCGGCCGTTTCCATTGTGCTGCGGGCTTCAGAGGTGTCTTTTTGCAAAACTTCCAGCTAGTTTTGCACCGCTGCTGGGCGCGGATCTGCGGCCCCCGTGCACTACTGAGCTTTGCAAGACGGGACTTGAGTTAGACTTGGATTGGGTTGTTTTGTTTTGCTCTTCAGCCAACTGGGTTTCAAGGAACTGGCAAAACTGGGCAGGTCCGGCTTGGCCTGGCTTCGAGTTGGGATTTTTTTGTGGGCGGACCACGCAGACAGAACTGTAGGGAGAGAGGGATCCGTTTGTCCTCTGGTTCCAGACCTGCTCCGTGGCCCCCCGCACCCGTTTAGCACGGCGCAGTGAGGAGCGGCGGGCCCCAGGATCGTCCGAGAGCCACAACTTGCTTGTGAGCCCTGGGTTTCAGGGAGAGGCCCAGCCTTGGAAAAGATTGCGGGAGGGGCTCCCGGGGGCTAAGTGTCCCCTAAAAGCACTCAGGGCTCTCCCCTCTTGACCTGGAATCTCAAAACCTCCGCAGGGGTCAAGCAGCAGGGTGTTCTCTCCCCACCCCTAGTCCTTTTAAAAGGCAATTTCTCCACCTACTAAAGCGTCGGACTGAATGGCTGATTTGGTTCCCACCCAAGAATTTTAAAAAATAATAAGAATTAGCCTCTTCTTTAAAAAGACGTCCCCCTTTCAGAAAAGTAGGAGTTTGTATTTTGTGTTCATCTTGGGCTTGGTCTAGATAAAGATCCAGCCCATTGGAAGTTTTATCAGATGGGTTGATAAATGGCTTTTGTCCCTTGGCTGCCATGGGGGATGTGATCTCAGCTCATAGCTGAAATTGAGAAGGGGGGCTTAGAGGCCCTTAAAACAACACCTTCCTGCTCTTAAAGCTGCAGCACTTGTTAACTTTGGGGGCTAGAGAGGAAAGGAAGTGCTGGCAGAGGCTCTCGGAGGTAGGCCTTTCAAGGGCTGAATGGTGGTGTTTTGTTGTTTCTCTGTTCGTATCTCCATTTTAAAAACTTTATTTTAAAGTATCCTGACACAGTCTGAGGAACGCTGGTGGGTTATGTAATTCACAGCCCAAATTCCATCACTTTTCTTTCCAAGAAGCCCATTTCTTTTTGGCTTCAAAGCTGGTAACCAAAACCTGGCAGATAGAACAGATAGCTGCTCAGCTGTCATGCCAACTGGGGAATGTTTCATCTCATTTGAGCCCTTGACAGCTGCGTTTAGTCAAAACGGCCCACCTTACTGAAAATCGAGCTTCTACTCTCCCAAAACAAAATATACTGAGGTCTCTGAAACTTGTGTGCTTGAGAAAGTTTCTGAAGTAAGGAATGAAGTTGAGTGATTTCCACAACAAAGAGTAAGACTGTTACATTTTTTTTTATGCTTTGGCCCAGGAAAAGGGTGGCTTTGGGGAAACGTTAGAAAATCTACAGGTTGGGTGGGAGTTAGAGAAATAAAGAAAGCGTTAGCAAGTGCAAGGCACCCAGACGCGGGGAGGGGAGCAAGTATCTCAGCCTCTTGCACTGAAGACAGGTGGAAACTGGCTGGGCAGCGCGTGAAAGCCGAGGTTTGTTCAGTACTGGGCAGTTTGAATGGCTGCCAGGAGCAAGCCCGTAGGACTGCAAATTAAATTGGACATAGTTATGTGGAGAGAGATGCCTTCACCTCTGCAACACTGAGTGTTTGTATGCTTCAGGAGTGTTTGCATTTACTTACCTGAGGTGGATGACCAGCTTACTCTGTTTCTGACTGTGTGACAACTATTAGGGTCCCCTGACCAAGGTGCTCAGGAAGACCACAGCCTGGCAACAAGAAAGGGCTCTGCACTGTCACGTGGGCTAGAAGGGTATCTGCTTGGGTGATGCTTCGGGGACAGAGGACAGGCGGACAGTGGCCACATGGGAGAGGCCAGAATAGACTTCTCAGAAGCACTTTCCAGAAATAGCATCTTTTTCAAATAGTAATTAATACATACTTTTTACACTTTGAAGCTATTGTGACTTAGATTTCTAAGAGACGTCTATATAGGACATATGTTGTGGGTGTGCTGACGTGCTCCCTGCACACTGTGGATGGATCCTGTATGCTAGCACAGTGTAGTAGCCTTCTTTGTGAACTTGTTAGAGAGGCAAGTTCTGGGCCTGCTCCAGACCTACTGAAGCAAGTACTCTGGGGCTAAGGCCTTGCAGTCTGTGTTCTAACAGACAGCGGTTCTCAACCACTCCAGGGCACTGGTTCTCAACCTGTGGGTCTCGACCCACAGGAACTGTATTAAAGGGCTGCAGCATTAGGAAGGTTGAGAACTACTGCTCTAGGAGATTCTGATGCTTGCTCAAGTTTGAGGACCACTATTCCTCAAGAAGAACCATTACACTTCAGCCTTTTGTTATTCCTTCTTTCTTTCCCTTATATTTTTAAACTAAAGCTGTTTAAGGAAGTTTAGTCCTCAGTGGGAAACCACGGCTTGGGGAGACCAAGGCCATTTATAGTGTCCAGGCATATCCAAGTCACTATAGAAATGATAATATTTCGGCTCTGCACCTGTAGCTCAGTGGTTAGGGTGCTGGCCACATGCACTGGGGCTGGCAGGTTCAAACCCACCCAGGCCTGATAAACAACAATGACAACAACAACAAATAGCCGGGCGTTGTGGCGGGCAACTAGTTCCGGCTACTTGGGAGGCTGAGGCAAGAGAAACGCTTGAGCCCAAGAGTTTGAGGTTGCTATGAGCTGTGATGCCATGACACTCTACCGAGGGTGATGTAATGAGACTCTATCTCAAAAAAGAAAAAAAAAGATACTTCTATCAAAACTTTTATTCAGAAATGTGTGTGCAAGTCACACTGCTTACCACATTGGCTGTCCCACTAGGACTTTGTCCCAAAGGAAAGTATCTTGGTCTTTGGGGGGCTGCTTACAAGCAACAGAAGTTCATTGCTACCAGTTCTGGAAGCTGGGAAGTCCAATATTAAGGCACTGGCAGATTAAATTTCTGGTGAAGACCTACTTCTGGCTCATAGATGACCTGCTCAAAAGGAGTAGGGTAACTCTCAGGGGTCCCTCTTCCAAGGTCACTAGTCCCATTCATGAAGATTCTACCTTTATAACCTAATTAGTTCCAAATCCCTCCCCCTTTGACACCATTATATCGGGGGTTAGGCTTCAACATGTGAATTTGGGAGGAGTGAGGATACAAACATTGGATCCACAGCAGAAAAAGTGAAGTGATGTCCAGTTACAAGAACCAAACAGCCACAGAGCCATCTAGCAGCTAGTGTGTGAAGGGGTCAGCAGGGCACAGCCTTGGCTACCAGGGAGATCATACATGTAAAACCCTAGATGGTTAGTCCTTTAGGCCCAGGAGGTGAACTGGGGAGTCAGGGAAAGGACCTCTGGTCTTCTGGTTTGAAGAAAGGAAGCCTCTCTATAAGGTTGGAGAAACTGCTAGTAGTCACCCCAGCACTCGGAAGAGACAAATTAGGGGGAGGTGGTGACCCACTGGCACAAATACAGCTGCTCTATGAGATGGGGAAGAGAGGACCCCAAGACTTTTGCAGGTAAGAGGGTGGGACCTGTTTCCATGTTGAGGACAATGTGGTTCCTGCTAAAGATCTGTCTTAGGTGGAATGTGCAAGGCCTAGAACTAGACCAAGCACTCTTAATTTTAGGTTTGAGTTGAATAGCAGGTGGTACCATGCTGTTTTGCTGCTTGGCTAAAGTTCAGCCTGCCTAAAATTGAAGGTAATGTTTCTTATATACTGTGGCCAACTTATTCCAGTTTTCCCAGGCCTCCTCATGTCATTAGAGGCACCCTCGGTCCTGGCACACCAGCATGGTTGGTCACCCTAGAGTCATGCCCTCGTGTCCCCTGGATGTACACCTTGCCTTGAGTCTGTTAGGAACACCACAGTCCTGGATGTAAAGTGGGCTTCTCCATGCAGTCCAGTCACCTGGACCTGGCGTCCTTCCTCTGCCCTGTCCTGCCTATTCCCACT